GTTAATAATCTAAGGTGAAATAGATAACAGGGAAAATAAAAATGGAGAGTACTATTTATTTTGTGTTAAAAAAATGTTATAAAAATTAGAATTGTGTTGTATTTAAAGAATCGAATAGTGCTAGTGAAATGATATGTACTAAAATTAAATCATCATAATTTTACGTAAAAATATTATGCTATTTTTTAAATATATATTCAATAAAAGTAAACACATGTGCATTGAACAGTACAATTATATTCATGTGAGCATAGTATATCCGACCATTAGCTGCTGCTTGACTTTATTTTTAATGTACCTAATTATTTCATAATTGCTTTTTCGAAAACCTCTGATCCTGGCACTGCACATTCTGAAAGAAAGCGATAAACCAATGTATAAAACATTTTTTCAAATTTAATGACATTGTCATAGTCCTTATGGAACTCATAGAAATAAAATGAATAGTTTTAAGATATTTAAATGTTTACTTATTCAAACCATCTACATTCTTGTAGCCTTAATTTATAGCATTTACAGTTACTATTGAAAATATATTGAAGTATCCAAATTTTCTAATATTTGTTAAACTATCAACATGATAAATGTGATATCATAATTCATTATACCAGGGCCTGTCCAAGCCCATTTAATTTGTGGATCAGTGTCATCAATGAATTGCTGACCAAAACATGCCATCAGTGTGTTATCAATCTCTCCCCAAGGAATGTCATCTAGTCGAATTTGACCTTTAGGAATACCATCACCTTCCCTAGGCCATTCTCTCTCATCCTAAAATTAAACATCCAAGCCAATAACATTTTATTGTCAGATTTAAATTTATTTCCTATCTCCAATCCAAGAAAAATAATAATCGACTACGAGACTTCATGTATTTGTGCCATTGTGAAAATATTCATGGACCACATAAAATTTACTATGAGAATACGTGCTTTAGACAAGAGTTTAGTTTCGATAGGAGCAAACGAATGCAGTTTTGTCAACTCGCCGCTTATTCAATTAAATGATTTGTAATGTTACAAAGATACCCTATTCTCCCGAGTTGTTAATAATATTTCAAGCAAGAATGACAGCATAGCTAACCTTGACCAGAAGTACAACAAATCCGTCTCGGCATCTGTTATCTTGCGGCTCTGACTGACAGAAGAAATAGAGAAGATATCGGCTTGGATTCAAACTCACGATAAAGTCTCTTTTTCCAGGGACAATGAATGCGTTTCCTGAAAATAACAAGATTTTTTATTTAGAAATAATAAGAATATAGTGCGAAACAATTAAGCAAGAGATGGGAAATGAAATGTTGTGCGTTCAAATGGGTTAGAATAAATACATACTTTTCGGGTAAACAAATTTTAAATGAAGTTGATAGACATTGCTACAAAAATATAAGTACCTGATACTGGACGGAATATAGCTTTCGTACCATCCGCACGTTCGTCTATCCCAAAAGCAGAGCCACAAGTGTTGAATGATGAGAACCTTAATAGAGATAAATGCTTTTAATTGTGCAAATTATTTTTAAGGTCACAGTGGACCAGTAGTACGTAGGACAAGGGCTTCTGTATCAAGAGGTCCCAAGTTTGATTCTTATCAAAATAATTCCTAATGTCAATTAGAATTTTCTCTTCATCCAAGCGGAATTAGGTACCTTAGAGGGCGGCAGGATTCCGTAACGATATAACGTTATTAAAGATATTCTAAAACGAAACAAAGGAACAGAATGCCTATTTCCATGAGTGCTTATGAAAAATTCCTTTTGAAATTTTAATGATGTAAAGAAATTTTAAAATACAAACCAGAATCCTAATTCTCTCCGTATTGATGTTTCATTCAAGACTTGGAGACGTAAGTGATTTTTTAAAACTCTTCCTGGGAACACGTCGTCGTCGTCATCAATATCATAAATACCTATGTAATTAACATCTGCAACCTGGTGTAGTAGATATATAATTGTGTTATCTAAAAATATTTGAAGAAAAACACCTATTTACGTAATGATGTTGATCATGCTATAGATAATATAATGTTATTTTGATTTAAGTTTAAACTGAAAAGCAAAACAATGAATTATTTAGTATTTGTAAATAAAAACTGACTTTTCCTGTTTGCAATATGAAAGATATTTGTCAATGTAATAGACATGCGATTATAAATACGCGTAGATATTTGACTTAGCATGAAGGCCAACCTTTGGAATGAAACTTTTGCATTCTGATTTGCACAAAAAGCTCAAGTTAGGTTTGCGATTTGCATACAATCACAAATCTTTAAAAAGAAATGTATTTTAGTTCACAATGACATTCACGTCTAGATGTTGCGCTCAATGGACGAAAATTAGTCGTAATTCTTTGTTACTACTAGCCATAGTAAAGGCAGTGTTGTTAAAGAATAACATGTAGAGTGACAGTTATTCTGTTTTGGGCGAGATGTTCTCTTACTTGTTACTTTACCTGCAATAATTAACTTTTTCAGGTGAAGAAGAAATTTGTGGCCGATCACGCTACAAAAATAGCACTGCGGTGACATCGAATATAAACATTTCTGATGATCCCAAAATTAACTTACATGCTCTTTTAACTGGTCCCATGAAATGATGCAGTCATGCGGAGGAATTTTTATGCCTTTCTCAGCTGTCAAATTTTCTTCGGCCTCGCTGATCATTAAAATATCAGGGGTTGTACCTAGCGGACTTGTTGTTGTTTGTTGTGTAAATGGCAGTAAATCATTTGAAAAACGTGGGAAATAGTTTCTTCTACCAAAGCCTGCTAAGTGTCTACTGTATAAAGTTTGGTGTCGAGAGTGCATTGCATAACCATATGGAACGAACAATATTACCAAAATCACAACAAATTTCCTGAAATTAAAACTGTAAGTCATGGTAGTTGTTTTAACAAATACAGGCACAAAATCAAAGGTGATGATCTCATCATAAAGTAATAAAAAAATTTAAAAAAAAGTTGTGACTGCAATCCAAACTAATGCAGAACAAAACAAATTAGACATTTCATAAACTTTCAACACAGGCTTCAGCAGAATTTTAGCAGGCAAGCATATTTAAGTTGGTATGTAAAAAGTATACATTTTCTTTGATTATATGTGCCTTGTTATAAAAAGAACACACACACCCATGCAAGATAACACGCGCACGCACGTACATTTGTGCGCGCACGTACCAACATTTTTTTGTAATTATTTACAATAAAAATATTTGCTTTATAAAAGCACGAAATAGAGGATGAACGATAAGATGAATAAAATGTGACACTATGTCCTCCCAAGTGGAAATGTTGAGCATTTAGGTAAAAGTCAAAATAATTTTTGTTTCTTGTTTTCAATTTTATAAAGCACCTCGCAGGAATAATCAATAGTTCACGTGACCTACATAAATTTCTATAAATTAAAAAGTAGTTGGGCAGACTTTTTTCATATTTAAGGCAAATTTTATATCTAATATCAATTGCTGACCAATAACCATTACAATTTAAGCCAATCTTTTAAAATATAGAGCTTATTTTTCTCATTCTAGCCCCATTATGCCCCCAGAAATACTTTTATTTCTACTTCTCAAAAGCTTCTTATATTGTATGTCCAGTTATACGAGAAGTTTCAATAAAGTTACTCATTGGTCAATTACCTGTATCATATTTTGTTAACATCTTTTTTTTATGACAAATGATTTCACATTCAGTGCTACTTTCTTCAGGTAATTAACATCTTACATGCTCTTTAACTAATGTTAAAACATTATAAAATTTATGTTTGCCATTTCTAAAGAAGGAACTTTTTATTTGTTTCCGAGACATAACGTGCGAGAATTGAAAACATAAAATTCTGTTTGTCGCCTGGTAAATTGCATGCAGATAATGTAAGATTTTATTTCTATTTTCACTTTCTAGAAATAATTTCATTTATTCATTTCGATATTTTTCGTGAAATAGATGGTTTTATTTTAGCAAATTATAACAAAAAAGTAGGGAATCATGTAATAACTACATGTACACATGTACTTTCTTTCAATTTTGGTAAGTTTGCAATACGTTTATGAACTTTACATATACACAATCATTCAAAGGAGAAAATAAATACTTACATTTTGGATAGTCAAACTATTCCAGGCAAAATATATACACGCAGTTTTGACGCTCGTGGGCACGATACACTGTATTGAAGCGGTTTTGCCTCAAGTAAAGCGGAATTACACGTTTAATTATTTTGATTAGAGATGTACATGTATTTGATAGTGTATCTAACATGATTTACGGAGGATATTTTTATTATGTTGACAATATCCCGCTTCGTTCCAAATTATCATGGAGTTTTATATTAAGTCTTTAAATAGAGGTCTTCGAAATTATCAACATATGTATTTATATTATACAAGGTCTACTTGTTTTCTTACTACCTGGTACATTGATTTTTCCTATGAGGAAATGAAATTGCTTGTGGTTTGCATTCTCACCTGTTTTTATGAACTTTATTTATATGATAAGAAAATTAAATATAAAGATGTTTCTTATAAGCATTGTCAGATTTTAGCGAAAGGTAAATTTTAACTACTATGAAACATTTAAATATGGATGTGATGATATCTTTCAGCTGAAAATATAGCAACTTTTCATCCGTAGTCTAAGCAAAAATATTTCAACATACGAGTATATTTATCATACGATATCGATATGCATGTATTAAAGTCATATTCATGTGCGTGAACTATCAATTTGTTAATATAGTAATGATTAACGGTAGTTATTAGTATTATGTTCCCCTATTTCATTTAATATATAGTATAGAAAGGATACTTTTCAATTGATAAATATTGTTTTACTGTACACATTGTTATTTTACAAGTCCATGCCTGTTGAATTCCCAGATTACTAAAATAAAATACAACAAAGCGGAAAGTGGCCGGGTATGGTGCAGTTTTTATGGAGATTGAAACGAGAGTGTGCTCGCTTTCTTTCTCGCTTCATCTCCGCATATGAGGCCTGTAATAGTAACATGATTCGGACACCTTGAGCACTAGGGAGAATACTTTCAGAATGAATGACGCTTGTTATGTTTTGTATTTATTTTACGACGTCATGCACCTCATTTATTATTGTATTGTTAGCGTGCGCCTGGTGGAACAAATGGGCCGGAAAATTATCATTTCTATTTTTCGAGTAGTCAAGTAGTCAAATAATATTAACAATTTACTCCTCTGGAAGTTTTCTTATGATTGAGTATTAAATCAATGAAGTATATAGTATGTTCCGAAATTCCACAGAATGTAACAAATTTAATAGAATGTGCTGGCACTGTTAAACACAAATTGATTTGTATGAATATTTTGAATTAAAATTAACTATTTTAATGATTATTAAACACATCTCGTTTAAAAATCAGAATGTTGGTGTTAATAATTTACTGTAAAATATTATAAGACACCAACTCTCCGTGACACTTCCGTCGGCGGCGATTCCGTGTTGTGTGATAAACAGCCAGGCCGTTCGGCTCATCTTTAGCTAACAACGTCCTCTGTTATAATCCGCAATTTCTTTAACCCTTTACCTCATATAGACGTGTTTCGACGGCTTTTCGACCGCCCCTCCCCCCTCTTTTTTGAGGCCTCAAGCAGTGAAAAATGTCCTATTTAGGCCCAAACACTGTTTTTCGTTTGAGAAATGTTGATAGAAAAGTGACCACTTTTTCGGCGCCGCCCCATCCAAAAGGTATATCAGGGGGTTGCCAGAAGGGGGATGTGCCCTCTTCTGTTTCGGGGCTTCATTGCCAAGAAAATTTTGGACATGTGACAGGCTAAAAATGGCCTCAGGTCGATTGTAAGGTAACGTGTAACCAACGTTGAAAAGTCTTTTACTATATCTCAAGCCATTGAGAAGTTGCAGCACTTTGAAATCAGTTTTGATGGAAAAAACAATGCAAAAAGTGATTTTTGGCAATTTTTAGAAGTGCCCCCGTTGTCAATGTTACAAGAAATTTAAAATTGAGCATGCTGTTACAGAGGCTATGTTCCTGTCAACATTTGTGCCAAGTTCCATCAGTATTGAAGCATTTTTCATAGTTTCATAGCAGTTTGAACTTGTAACAGTAGGCTTTTCCATGAAAACGGCCATTTTTCACAATATGCTCATGAAGGAAAGGGTTAAACAGCAATCTTTTTTGGTTTGGTTTATACATTTTATTTATTTTAGTTCGATTGTGTAGCAAGCTATAAGCTTATAGACACCCTTCGAATCCGTTCCTGGAACCAACCTACACTGAGCAATGAGTGTAAAGTTTCTTGCTCAAGGAAACAACGACTTGCAACCTTTTTTTTAAAAGATTAACCAACGTTTTTACAAGTGTGTGCAGGTGGATTTACTCAAACTTCAAGGGAATTAACTTTAGGTGACTATCTACAAAAATTATATAAAAGGTTGTAGGCTGATGCAAAGATATATGCATCAACTTCTGGTAGTCTATAAAAGGTAGTCCTGTAGTCACTTAGTTTATATAGATTTATATAGGAAAATACATTATAAAACTGCAATGCAAAGATCTCAAATATTTGGCATGTAGCATTGCCTAGTGGACCTCTACAAAAGTAATACAAGTCTGGCCCCTAGGGTCAAAAATGATTTTAGTCCTGCGGGGTCACTTAGTTTACATAGACTTGAATACATGTAGTAAAGACTTTTGTTTAGAAACTGCACTGCCAAGAGCTTAGATATTTGGCATCAGCACCTTCTTGTTGTCCTCTACAAAGTTACAGATGACCAGAGCTTTGGTGTCTGCCATGTAGTATTTCCTGGCGGACATATTGTTTAAAAACATGCAGTTTGGTAAAATGACACCTTATTACTGTGTTGTTGTTTCTCTTTTACAATGAGAAATGTGACTTTTTTATCAATGTTTCTCAGCTTAACGAATTGGTGTCGTTTTGTTTTATAAGAGCAATGCATTCTACACGTGATTTTGTGCTTATGCAATAAAACGAGTTTTACGTGCATTTTAGCTGAATTTTAATTTCCACTCAAGCGCTCGTTTTTTAAAAGATATTTTAATCGATTTTGTTTTATAAGCATATATAAAGAAATACTGTTTTTTTACCTACAAGGTCAATATGACTTTGACCTCCGGTCCTTTAACCCCAAAATCAATAGGGGTCATTTACTGGTCAAGACCAATGCACCTACAAAGTTTGAGGGCAAACAGCCCATTGGTCGTCCAGTTATTGATCAGAAACCGTTTTACCTACAAGGTCAATGTGACCTTGAGCTTTGACCTAAGCGTTCTTTAGTTATTTACCGGAACCCATTTAATTGGTCTTCGGACCGACGACAGACAGACAAATGCCTAGCAATTTACTCCAACTTCTTTGAAGGGGGGTAATTTTAAACATATTTTTTGTTTCAATATTTACTCTAGAAATAATCAGGAATGAGGGGTAAATTGATTTGAGGTAGGGGAGAAGTGTTTTTTTAGGGGTGATGTGTCTTCAAAATTTGAGGTTTGATGTGTCGGGACTGGATGAAGTAACGTGTTCCCCTTTTGGTGTATGAAATATGTAGTAGCAGGAAGAAAATTACGCTATATGTATATTATTTATTTTTAAATTACCTCCTCAAACCAAGGCCTTTCAATTAGAAAGACCCTGCTCAAACTGTCAATTTTCAGTACTAATGCTTCTTACTGCAGTAGTACTATCCGAAACGCACCAGAATAAATTACATCTTTTTTCAAAATGTTCCCTTTCCCCTAGATATTACAATGTATGTGAATTTGCAAGTTCGCAACATAATTGGTCTAGTTTCATCCCTGAAAAAGCATAATTTTAATACAGGATTTCAAGATCTATTCAAAATGGATTCAATATACTGTCATGGTTCATAAGAGCATCACTGATCATGTGACATGAAATACAAAATTTTGAACATGTAACAACCGGAACACAGAAAAAAATTAACATGAAAACAGGAGAATGAGTGACAATTATATTGTACCCGTAAAAATAGAATAAAGATATGACTAGATTATCAATTATAACAGGAATTTATGCTTCAATAACAAAATTACTAGGAGGCTAATGATACAACATTATATTTATTATTTGCATGATGTAATTATAAGTATTTTCTTTACAAAACAAAGCAAGGTTTTTATTAGATGTGATATGTTTTTACTATTAATAAGATCTTCAAATTTCAATGCATTAGGATACCTATAATAATACTGTTTAATAAATTTAGGTCTACTATGAACAAACTGTGAACAATAAAAGAGATATTGAAATTTATCATCCAGTTGGTTTGACTCGCATAAAGTACATATATACGTAAGTTTATCTCTATATTTAGGAATTTGTCTATTGGCATGCATTTTATGATTCATACATCTAAATTTTAACAAACCTGAAGACAGTTACCAAGGAAGTATGCTAAAATAGTCTTAAAATACAAACTCTGGTTTATATAAACGATAGTTTAAACATTTGCTTAAAGATTGGACGTCACTCTTTTGAAATTAAGCGGGACTAAGTAGATTGACTTAACCAATAATTTGATAAACCAAGTTCGTCCAAAGTATCCATGGTAATTCAGTTCTACATCTAACATACACCGAGTATGCAGTCTTATTTAAAGATATTACAAATCTTATCATCTTTGCCATTCTTGAAAGCTTACACCAGTAGTTAATAATTTTACTTTTATTGTCAAAGATATCGAAGTAACTCCAAGTTCACCATAACGTATACAATTGGGAGTACTTTGCTTGAGGTTGAGTAAAATTTTATAAAAAATTCAGCTGAAACTGATCGATACACTTTAAATTTTCTATTCCCCGAACTTCAGAGCCATAACAAAAAAGGAACAATCCTTGTATTAAACAAGTAGATCTACAGATGATAACAATTTTCTAGCTTTTTTGATCAGAGAGAACAAAGCTTTCTTCGCTCGACCAATAAGACGTTTTTTAGTTTTAGCAAATTACCATTTTCAATAACAAGATTCAAATAACTTTATTTGTGTTCAAAGGCATCAGGCCCAAAATACATAGCATACATACAACAATATAGTAATATGGTTGCGTCAACTTAACAATGTTTATTAATGCGAAAAAAGACTAGTTGTTTATGTTATCCATTAAAACATATACATAAAACATAAGCTTCCTTAAAGTGTTTATATCACGTGTACCTATTAATACATAAAAATCATGTAGTTCTTTTCCGCCAAAATACCAATTGAATAAATACTTATCACGGATTTGTTTATATTTTTTACATATAAAGAAAGCATGGAATTCACAATCTATACTATTATTACAAGTTGTACACAGACGTTCTTCCCTTGGGATATTATTATGTCTGCCTATTTCTATACCTAATTTATGGTTGGAGCAACGAAAATTACAAAACGCCTTTTTATGTTTAAATGGTATTTCTATTAATAAGTATCTACGTTCAACATTTAAAAGTGATTTAAATTTATTATAGTGAAAACATCTACTAGAGTTCGTTATATTTCCATACCATTGTTGAGTACAACAATCAATAAGTCTTTGTTTGAAAAGTTTAAGGAACATATTCGTAATAACTTGAATACCTAGATAAGAAGAATCATGTAAGTAATTATTAGTTTTCATTATAAAAAGAAAATTGAGATGCATCTTCCATACGATTCCTGCCCGTAGAAAATATTACAATTAACCTTTGTTGTTGCAGAGTTCTCTTTTAAATTCAAAACATAACAATATTCAAGCATAGCAGCTAATGCAGTCTGAAGCTCATCTGCATTGTCTGCTAAAATTACAGTATCATCAGTATAAAGGAGCAGAAAGACTCTAAAAAGTACCTCTTCAGTACTTCAAAAGTACTTCATTACATTATAAGCTTTCACATCATCAGCAAGTGTATATAGACCAGCATATTTTTCAGACTTAAACTGTGCAAGATCATTTAGAAATAACGAGAACAAAACGGGTGAAAAATTTTCTTCTTATCTTACACCAGCATTACAAAAACAATTTGATACAGTTATGCCCCTGTAAATATCATGGTCATTTACATCACACTTATTTTCATACAGTGGTAAAATCAGTCTTTTACTCCATTTCTCTGGGAATATACCAGAGTCAAGAATAATATCAAACAATATCAAACACCTCAGAACTTTTACAGATCAAAAAACTTTTCGTTAGTTATTTACTTTACGTTGTTTTTGTTGTTAGTTTTCTCTGTTTAGGTTCATTAATAATTTATTACCCACATTTCCATTCCACATACTTCCGTCTATTTGTACACCGGTTGTTTAGAAGTTTGCAACGTTTTCAAACAGCTGTTTGAGCAAAAATGGTTGAAATAGGATCAGGGCCTATAAAGGAGAGCATAGATAACACGGTTTTTATTGTGCCTGGATTGATCATAGGATTTTTAGTCAGTAAGTATTGTAAGAATTCAAAACTAAAAAAAGGCTACGGAGACACCCCTCTATTTAGGTTGTACGTGTTCAATTTTGAACTCCTGTAAACAGAATTGATTACGCACGTAAATAGCATTGATTATGCACATATTTGTTTCATTTAAGAACGCATAAATAAGGGCAATTCTTAAAATATGATTTTTTATAAATTTTTGTAACTGTTTTATACTAAAAAGCCTCTTGAAAGGTCTGATTTGTCTTATTACAGGGTTCTGGGTGACGCTTATTTCGGCGTCCTGGTACTCATGTTTATTACATCTGATCGCAAATATTTCTCAACAAGAATTCCGCGTGCATAGGACCTCCTATTGATAAGACTTACACTGTCTGGCGTATTTGTGGTTGTAAACAATCGGTAATGTTTATGTGTACCCAGGCAAAATTAAGCGTGCGCGAGAATCCTTGCTCTGAAATATTTTTTCATAATTATGCCCCTTTTTCGGCTTAGAAATTCTTGGTAAAGGTTTTGCTTGTAAGCTGGTATCTCCATAACTACTGAAGGGTTTGTGCCTTTTTTGGGACAACCTTATGCTTTCATAATAATAAAGCAGTGACTTACTTGATAAAACATCTTAATAACAAGCCTTTGTACCTTTTCGGACAATTTTATGTATTCATATAGGTAAGCATTATTAATATACTCAATGAAACACACTTGTGACAACTTTTTCGAAAAGTTGAGCGTTACTGTCTTCTGACAGTTCATGTTTTATTAGATTTGAGTTCTGAAACTACAGTTATTAGTAATGTTAGTTGTGAAATGCTGAAAGTACATATTTTAAGAATTGGATGAACAAAGAAACCAAAAAAAACAAATTGTTATACATTCATAATTGCATTTTGTGTATAGTTTACTCAATTTTGTAACTTGATATTGGAGAAGTCTGGGATTCAAGTTTTGTTGTCGTTATTTACTTAATCTTTTACCACGGTTTACCATTTGCCCTGGCTTCAAGATTTGTTGTCTAACACTGTCTTTACTCAATCTTATAAAGTTCTGGGTTTGTTCTAGCTTCAAAATTTGCTAAGCTGTCTTTACTTTCATTTAGTCTTGTAACTATGTTTGTCTTGGCTTTAATTTTTTTCATTTTTCATATTTAAAATTAATTTTTTGATGTTTTTTTTCTTTCAGTATTCTTCACATATAAACTTGTTAAAAGTCTACGAGAGAAAGAAAGGTTAAAAGAAGAGAAGAAGAAGCTGAAACAGCAAAGAAAAGAAAAAGAAGCTAAAAAAAGTGTTCCCAGAAAGAAGCTAGGATAAATAGATGAGCAAACAGTTTGACAAAAGACCAATTTAAATAATTTATTTTTAGAACTTGAAGTTATGAAAATGTGGCAGGAATTTTTGGCTGGAACAGAAAGTCTGATGCTGTTGGACATAATATTGCAATATTTTTGTAGTTGAATTAAGAAAAGAGGGGTAAAATGCATAGACATTACAGATGAAACATCAATAGGGAAAGAAGGAAATGAAAATTTTAGAACTTCTAACTGGCAGTACTTGGTTTCATAGATGTCAGATGTCTCGATATATGTTGGAAGTGAAATTTATAGGACCAATCTCTTTACAATGAATTGTAAACCCGCCTTTTCCTGTAATTTCTATGTTTTAGGAGTTTATTTAAATTATATATATTGGAAACATTTATGACATCAGATAGAAAGATTAATATATAACAAGATACTAATAACATATTATTATTAAAAACAGAAAAGAACATTAGAATTAACATCAGATCTTGCCATGATATTGATATGATGTATATATTATTAAAGTGATTGAATTATTTAATTCAATGAGATTATGTTCACCAGATTCTGATTACTTATACATGTATATTATTTATTGATTATTTGTTAATTTAGTTCATATTGGACTATGGAAAATTTTTAATTTCAATAAAGAGTAATGTTATAGAACTTTTTTTAAGCCTAAAAGTTGTTCATATACTAAATGTAGTATTTTGGTGGATAATGGTGGATGCTGACATAAAAGTAGAATGTAAAATTAATGAAATACTACAGTCAGTTATTCCACTGTATATAATGCAGCAGTCTATGCAGTAATTTAAGCACAGTTCAAGTCACATGATCCTTAAAGCTGCATGCCTCAAAATGAGCAAACATATTTGTAGAAAAATAAACATGATAAAAAGATTAAAAATTTTAATAATAATATACACTTTATTATGATTTTGCAGCAATTATCATCATATCTCTACTGTGTGTAATTAATACAATGCATGAAGGTCTATTTTTGAATATTTTGATCTCTTTTTGGGTAATTTACATGAATTGGAAGTGCTGTTTGCAATGTGTAAATCACTTTCTTTGTTCACTTCACAATATTATGAATATTATTCTTTTAAATACATTTTTAAATTTTATATGAAAATAAGTATGAATCTGAAGACATGCTGCTTAAATGTGTAGTAAATAATGGTAGTTTGTCCTTAGAATTTAGCAAACTGTTTTAAGATACTGGATAAATAATCAAAACAGCTTTACAGTGATAATCAGTATTTTTATTGTATTCAGTGTTTACTGTTTAGTAAAAATGACCCTTGAGATAATGCATTTGTATATTTACAGTCATAATATATTGATCATATTCTTTTACCTAATGAAAGCATAGATTTTATAAAATATACCACATAATGATGTGAATCAGTCATTTGGAAGTTCTGTATCCCATCTCTATAATTCCTTACTATTGTACAGCTTAAAGGGACTCCACTCAGGGTTTTTGACATGGTGGGACTGAAAATAATGTTTCGAGATATAGAGGATATTTGTCTAGTTCAGTGTAAGATCGGAATATATTTCACCGAGTGAGCACCAAAAGGTATATTTCACGAGTGGCGCAGCCACGAGTGAAATATGAACTTTTTGGTGTTCACAAGGTGAAATATATTTCTATCTTACACTAAACTAAACAAATTTTCTTTTTATTATATGCAAAGAAACGTTTTAAAAAGACATTAAACCTAAAACTGAATGAAAAGCGCGCCAAATAATTAAACAACGTGACGTCATTAACGACGTTACGTCATTAAGTTGGTTCCCAGTTCTGTGCACGCTGGTATTTCACTGAAACAACGTAAGGGGCTTAAATTCAAAACAATTATCAAAGTGGTAATTTCACTGTTTCAAACAGTGAAATTACCAGTTTTATATCACTGATATATTTCTATAAACTACCGAAAAGCATGTAATAATAATGTTTATTTTGCTTTAGGTCCAGACCAATAATGTGTGTAAATTTTCAGATCACTTACTCACTCCGTTTTTCCAAAATAATCATTTTAATTGTGAAACATGTCCACAATTGATAGTGTTGCAATTTTCACTCAAATCAGGCTAAGAACAGCATCTAAATACAATTTTCAATTTAATTCTGTGTATACTTATTTACTTTCACTTTGTATATCTGTCTGTTGTTATTGCCCCAGTTGATCTTTATAACAAATTCATATTATATATTTTTAGACTTTCGAACCTCAGTGGAGTTCTTTTAAATCTCAGTACTTTCAAAAGTGTTGTGAGGGCTGGGTTACAAATGTCTGATTCATAATAGTTTATTATATTATCCATTTGTAAATCTGGTGGTTCAAAAATTTGAATGTTCTGCCAACTGAATTTTTTTAAGCATTCCATAGTCATGTATGTTATTAAGTTATTTTAGCCAATCATGATATTGTTGTTGTTGTTGATGATGATTATTGCATTATTATTATTTCCGCCAATAAAATTGGAAGGTGAATATTGAATTGGCATTGTTTGTCTGTCTCGGAATATAAAAATATAATTTCATTGTCTTTTGAAAAGCATTTAATAAAAAACTGAATATGAGACTGTATGTCAGAGATTAGATGTCTGGGAGAAACTTCAAATTGCCTGCAAATCATATTAGTGATCCATCTGAAACTCTCTGTTGAACCTAAAAAAAATGTTACAATAAGTTTATTTTGCTCCTCACTGCACGAGATCTCAGGCTTTGTATTATAATTAGACACCAGACTCGTTTCTGAAATTCTCATATTTTAAGATATATACACAAATAATACTTAAAGGCCTAATTCAACTTTCAAGTGGCTGGGATATCAATTCAACAACAAAAAAATTATTACTAGTACGGTGAAACCTCTGAATAAAGAGCAACCTATAAAAAAAGGCCTATTTTCACCAAACCTTTATTGATTGAATATAACAGAGTAACCTCACTATAAAGATCACCTGTCTACAATGGCAATGTTCGGTTTTGTTTCTCCCTTAGATGAACATTGTTCACAGGTTTCACTGTACCCTAAATGAGAAAAGATTTTTTTGCAAATTAGTAGTACATGTATGACTTCATTTTAAGGGTACATTTTACTCGGATTCCGTTTGTTGATGTAATAAAAGATAAATTAGTTGATTTTAGATATTTACAAGTGGGTTTCTGTTACTATGTTGATACCAAATATTTATGACTTGGTTTTAGTTACTATTGATTCTACATCCATTGTAGGTTTTGTGTAAACTAGTCATAAGATGATACTATCTAGGTGTAGGTATATGTACTGTATATATGTGATTATACCCTTATTAACACACTGTGGTGATGAACATGCACAAAGTTATTACAATACTTTTAATCCTTAAGCAGAAAAAATAAGTTTATTAAAGCACTAGATGATTTCATCAGTTGAAAGTAAAAACAGTTCTTTTACCTTTGCCAAAAAATTGTTTAATTGACTTGAAGTACTTTTAATTTTGAACTGTTCAGTATCTATATGTGAGAATACTAAAGTGAAGTTGCCAACAATATAGAGTCTACTCACATTTGACAACATGCCTAGCTTGGTTGACTCTATACTGGTGTCATATGAATATTATTATTGTTATAAATTCATCACCACTAACAGGGCTAATTGTCTTTTAGTTTTATTTATAGAGAAATACGCAATATATTTTAAAGCATATCTTGTACTGTTTGTTTTCACATTTTGTGACTTGTTTTTTTTTAAAGATTTACAGATATTGTACCAGATATAATAATAAAATGTTTTGTCTTCTATATTGTATGTATATTATGTTTTATAATGAATAGAATGATAAATCCAGTAATTAAATGATTATTATATGATTGATAAGACATGGTAATTTATCTAAAACAATTAAATTGATATTGATTTGTTTCTCTTGTATCAGACATATTTTGACCTCGACTCATGAATGACCTTGACCTACATGTTGATCAAATTATTTTTACTGTCCTAGGATGATAATTTGGTCTTAACGGTACATGGGAAAGTCCAAAAACGGGGTTATCTGGATTATTATCCGATATCGTAAAAGTAAACACTTACATATACTTTACAGTACCGTTTATATATTACCGTTATGGCTCTGTCGGTAGATCGAAGTTATTGTAACTTTTAATATTTTGAACTCATAGGTTCGAACCCAAAGTAGTGCCATTTTATTACCACAGTTTTTTCTTCTTGCTCTGTTTTTTATCATTATTATTTATTTATTTTTTCGTTTTCCGTTTTGATTTCTTCTTATAATATATATTTCATAGTATATATTTTTTTATTTCTATTCTATTTTCTTTTTGTATTTTTTGATCGCAGAGTAATAAAATATTCGATCTCATATTCATGTATGTATATGAATTTTTTTTTGAACCATTGACTGTTCTGAGGTAAAAACAATATGTCTTACCAGTAGTCGAACTTCTGCCTGTATGGGTAAAAGACATTACCGACACGGTTGCTCTACCTACTGCGCTAACACGTCATATAATTATGTAGTTTTATTTTCATTTTTATAGGTTGTGACATTGATCTGCCTAACCTATTTTTCGCATTGATATTGGTCTTTGTTATGTAAACAAAGGCTCAAGTTATCATCCTAGGACAGTACTTTCACAGTTTCTTGCACTAATTGGCTATGACTGTTACTAATAAAAGGACTGTCTTCATACATGAGCATCACAATCCTTTTGGCAAGATATTAAAGAAGATTAATTAAACTTTACCTTGACCTTAATATGACATTGACAATAAAGTTCAAATTAGTGAATTTTGCTACATTTTGTCATATCTTTTATTTATATATGGGTTTGACTTGGACAGAAGAACATTTATAACAAAATAGTCATGGTTAGTATGACATTGACCTGCAAATATCAGACTGACAAAGTAATGAATTTAGCTTAAACTGTCATAACTGTGTTATTTATGTGCATAATTGATTTATACTTGGACAAAAAAATTGAAAAACCAAGGTCAGGCTATTTAAATTTTCTCAAATTGTAATAACTTGATTTGTGTACTAATTTGGTTTTCACATGGACAAAAGGTCTTGTATGAAAAATCTGAGAAATAGAATGATTCTGATATGACATTGACCTTAAAAT